GAAGAATAGGTTTTTAGATCTAGAGACTTCATTCTGGCAGATCTGTGTTGGAGGAGACAAAATAATTTTTTCGTCCCAGCTGCTGGCGGGGAGGAACAGAACAATAATAGTGAGAAGCTTAAAGAGAAGCTTATGACCAAGCTGAAACGAAGTAGGAGATGGGAGATAGCAGCTGCCCGGTGCTGCGAAGTCATTTTATCACCAGGAGCATGGAGTGATGGGAGGGCTCTCCAGGCCTGCCCACCTCCACCCAGAGCAGATGTTGTGCCCAGCCCAGTACTAGCCACAGGCAGCTTGGTTTGCAAGCAAAGGGCACACGTGACTGGTGCAAGACTATAGCATAAGTGCCAGCAGCCACATCATATCTGTGCTTGGTGGAGATGCAGATGCTGCTGGCGAGCTGTGGGCTATCATCTGGACACGTCCACGCTGATAGAAGGGTATTGGCAAATAAGAGGTCATGCAGAGACAAAAATGATAGGAAAGGAAGGAGGACATGAGCTACATTCAGAAGTGCGGCAAAGGGAAGCAGGAGGATAAGTCCCCCAGGCAGCCCTTGGAAGGGTTGCCAAAACGCAGCGCGCACAGCCAAGCCTTGCCAGATGTTGCTGCTGCCCAGGAGCAGAGCTGCAGGTCTGTGATGGCACTGGGAGCAGATGGCAGCAGCTGGGAGGAGCTCAAGGAAGGGTGGGAGGGAAGGTGGCTGCCAAAACACCCTGACTCAGCTCTGCTCATGGGAAGAGACTTCACTTGGATTTTGAGTCTATCAAAGAGAACTTTAACATTGACTTGCTTGCGTGTGATCTACAAGCATGTATGAAGTGGAGCATCTTCTGACGTTATCAAGTTAAATGGGAAGAAGTGGAAGCTAGGGATGCTCAAATGGAATTCAAATACATGTTTGTGAAATTGGGTCAGAGAGGACTTACATCTGGGCTGGCCCACTGGGGATGGACCACACTGGTCTTCACCAGCTACCACAGCTGGATCTGCTCCCAGAGAACTGCCTCTCAGCCCCAGCTAGATACACAATGCACAGGGTAGAATTTTATGACCCATGTCACAAAGATGGTCAGATGTGTTGTGAAGCCAGGAGGAGCAGCTCATCAGTTCACCAGTCTTCCTCAAAACAAAGGGAAATTGGGACTGAGAGAGCTTTCTCTAATAAGTCCAGCAGCCAAACCCGTGAAATGCTACCTCAGCTCACTCCCTAAAGAGTCATGCTGATGTGTACAAAGGAAGCAGGAGACCTTGAGAAAAAAAGGCTGGTCTTGTTGGAAAAGCCCGTAGCTATGAACCAAGTGAGAGGTTTTTGCATCCATCCCTGTCACAGCCTCTCAATGATGCACTGCTCTCGCCTCATGCATCAGCAGCTGCCCAGAGGCATCTGGCGCTTCACCCTCTGCCCACAGCTGGGCTGCTGCTTGGTGGCATCAGGATCCTGCAGCAGCACTCTCCCTCCAAGCATTGGATGCCTAAACATTGCCTGTTCATCCACCCAAAGCCAGCAAGCAGCTCAGAAAACTCAGATTATCCTTTCCCATTTCATTCCCCACCCATGGTGGGGCTGCCTCCCTGGAAGGGGAGCTGTAAGATGGGCTCATTAACATCTGTGAAGTACAGATACTGCTGCACTAAGTGCATTGCAAAAGCTCATGGGATGGTTGTTAATTACATATTCAGTGTGGGGTTGTAATGGCATGCATTAAGAGTGGCATGGGGTCCCCACTTTAAATAATGGGGATGAAACAAATTAAACATTTGCCCCTGTTTTGTGGGCTGAAGAGTGCAGCTCAGGAATATTTTAACCACTGTACTGTCATCTCGAGTACCTCCATACCACAGAGGAGCAGAATGAAACAGCCTTCACATAGCAGCTCCTAATTTCCTAAAAGGCTTTATGTAACATTCTCCAAATTGCACGGCTTGGCACAGCGATCCCACTAAATTTTCACCAGAGGGGAAAGACATACCAGCACTTCCATTACCCAACCTCTGCATACACTGCAATGTGGAAGACCCTTTGTAGAGCACGACCACTCCCAGGCTCTTCAACAGAGCCTCGCTTAATTGGATGGTGGGAACAGATGTCTCCAGTGAAGGCAACTGGTGGACAAGTGGGAGATTAAGCTCAGAAACCTTACAGGAGCAGATAGCGGCATGGCAAAACACTGGGGAGGAAGCAGTGGGCAGCTAGGTAAAATACCAGGGATGACAAATGCCTGGGATGACTGTGGAACTGGTGCGTCAGTGCCAAGATATTGGAGGAGTCTTCATCAGTAAGATCGTAATTCCTCCTGAAAAGGACCTGGCTCAGCCCCTGCAATAGAGCGTTTTACTGCAGTCTGCACAGTAAAAGGTGTCCAAAAAAGGAGGACACTGATATGTGTGTTAATCAAGTGAAGAACCATCTACAAAGAAAAGGCATGGATCTGTCTTCTAGTTGAGGAGCTATAAATAGCCTTGCATACTTGCTTATCAGATTGGTTCGGCTGCAGGGATAATCTCCTGGAGAAAGCAATGGAAGCCCTGTTATGTTGGATATTTATAACTAGATGAAAGCCTAGAAAATGCACAGTCGTGTCAATCTTGCGCTCGTGCCGCAAGATAGGGTGTGTGGGATCCAATTAGTCTCTTCAGTTTAATATAAGGTCAAGAATGGCTCCGTCTTCCCAGCTCCACAAGAACGAAGCAGAGTCTCTTGGAGCACTCTGAGCGGCAATGGAAGCATGGTGAAATATCCCCATAGGGTCATAGTGGTTGCATAGCTCTCTTGTAGGATGACATGACCCTTCCCTGCACAAACAAGGCATGTCCCACGCCACTGAGAGGTCCGGAATACAATGGGAAATATGGCCCCAATGGACCAACCCGATGCAACCAGAAAGTTGTGATACCCAAACAACATGTCCTGGCACCTGAGTCCCCTTATTGCCTGCTTAAGGCATCACAGCCCTCACCCCAGCCCCACAAGTTCACTGAACTGCCATTGCCAGATAATCTGCAGAGCACCAGGGTGATGGAGTTAATGCCAGTGGATCCCCCAGAGCCGTGCCCCGACACAGCCTCGGCTCTCACTGGATTTTATGCAGGTCAGGGCGGGTGCTGGAGGCAGCAGGACACCCAGCAGCTGCCACGGGAGGGGAGCCGGGCTGGGGGCAGTGAACAGAACGGGAGCTCCAGCACACCATTATCCTATGTGCACCCAAAGAACTGCGAGGTTCTGTGGGTGCAAGGTGACTTCTGTTCTACGCTGTGAGCACTCACAGCTCCTATGCAATGGGAATGCCGAATCTGTGGAGTGGGTTAGGGCCAGGGTCTCCAAAGGTGCCTGGATGCTTTGCCCCCACAGCAGCCCCTACTCTGAGCAGTGTCCCCTGGCCTTAGAACCATAGAGCCATAGAATTTCTCCATTTGAAAGGGACCCAAGGGGATCACTGAGTCCAACCCTGGGCTCCAAAACCACCCAAAATCCAAAGCCTATGTCTGAGCATTATCCAAATGCTCCTTGAGCTCCAGCAGCTCAGAGCCATGCCCACTGCCCTGAGCAGCCTGTTCCATGCCCACTGCTCTCTGGGGCAGAGCCTTTTCCTAACACTCAGCCAAACCTTCCTCTGATGCAGCTCCATGCCGTTCCCTCAGGTCCTGTCCCTGTCACCAGAGAGCAGAGATCTGTGCCTTGTTTTGGTCTCCTCATCCCATAACATCCTGGCAAGAGGACAGTGAACATGCCAAGGACTGCAGAATGCCCTCCATCTCCTACTGCAGAACTTCCAGGTTCTCCTCTCTCACCTTGCTCCTCCTTCACTTTCTCTGAGTCATCTGTTACATTCATGAGCTCAAGATCCCCTCTCTCAGCTCCAACACCACAGAATCACAGAATCACAGAATCACAGAATTGCCAGGGTTGGAAGGGACCTCAAGGATCATGAATC